AAAGATAAAGAGAATGATGTAATTAGGAGATGTGGCAGTGATGACATTTGAACTGTAGAGGGATTGATTCATAGAGGAAAAGGGTGGAAGTATCTGCTGTAAAATGTCTTCAAATTCTATTTGGCATGATAAAGCTATCAAAAATTATCTATAAAATAAAACTTTTCCCTCTAAATTTCCAGCATTCATATTCCCTAGCTGCTCCTTCTTTTTTTTATTATTACTTTTTTTTTTTTTTTTATTTAAGCAGCAAATGTTTGGGGACACTATGAATATCTGTTTGTAATTCTGTTGTATTCTATGGTGTATTCAGTTCCACACATTGCTCCTTTAGGTATGCAAGGTATGTTAATCAGTTGTATTTCCTAAAGTTTCCTTTTGGAAATGAACTTTTTACCTTCCCATGTATTAGTATATTACCTGTGTAGTAAAGATAACGACCTTATGTTGTGTAGAGTCATCAAACCAGAGAATATTGCCTTGTGTTGCACCAGGTAAGTACTTGCAGAAGTGGGAAAATGAAATTCAGTGTTTTCCACTTTGGATTGCACAGTAGACTGAGATAAACAGATCCTGTATGTTATTTTCAAAGAGAGAGATCTGTGACCTTTTATAAAAAATGGACTGCTTTTTGGAAGGATAATTATCAAAGGCTATGTCTGTCCCAAGGGGGAGAGGGAGTGGGGCTGTTGTCTTTTTAAGAATCCAGTGCTTTACTCCCCGAAAGCTGGGTGCTTGCTTGCCTCCCAGTGTTCAACGATATTATAGCACTTTTTCAGAGCGTGGGAGCTGCCTTTCCTTGCATCGCTTTCTAACCTCAGTCCTGACCATCTCTGTTCCATCTTACTCTGAAGTTTCCTAGTAGTGATGCACTGCTCCAGTTCAGTTCTCTTTTTTTTTTTTTTTTTTTTGTACGTAGACAACGAAGAAAAGTTGCTTGTTACTAGCTGTAACCCCTCTGCGTAATGCCAATAAAGACAGTGCCATGTGGACACGTGGTGGTAGGAGACCACCGAGGATGTGCTCAGCACCAAACTCACGGCAGAATCTGGCCTTTGAAACCTTCAGTGCTAATGCCGAGATTCAACTCTGCAGTGCAGCCATCCTGCATTTGTCTGGCAGATGAATTTTTGCTGCATTGGCCCCCAGCAGATAAGGTGCATCGGGAGGCAGGGACAGTGGTCGCAGCATACTGCAACCGAGAGGACAATCGGCAGCATCAGGCTCTTCAACACCGCTGTTTTCAGGGACCCTCTGCTCATTAGATGCTAAGGAGGAGAAGTAAAAACAACAGAACTGTGGAGTCTAAGGAGTGACACGAGGGAAGGAAAAAGGTTCTGGCAGACATGCCTTTTGTTAAAGGCTGGGAGCACCAGCCTGGAGTTGCATGGCTGGCAGACCACCATATAAGTGCAAATGTATCTCAAATGATTTGTTTTGCTTTTCAACATGCAGATCTCTCTTCTTTTTTTTTTTTTTTTTTTTTTGTTTGTTTGTTTGTTTGTTTGTTTGTTTGTTTGTTTGGTTTGGTTTGGTTTTTTTCCCTATAAAGTAAATGTCATCTTGCAATACCTTTTGCAAGTTACCAGATTCCAGAGATTTTGAGGGCTGAAGTACTTGTTTCTTTGATAAGTGCTGAAATTCCAACATAATGCCCAATCCTAACAACTAGACCTCTAGGAAATATATTCCAAATATCGTTAGATTGCCATAGCATTGAAAAACATGGCAATAAAACAGCTGTTACAACTATGGTTATGTCTGAGAGACAGATGGCACCTTATCAAGGGGTGTTCTTTTCTGAACAGGAATTTTGGGTTTTGGAATATTTTACTTGGAATGACTTTATACCAAGTATGCTTAAAATTAAAGATTTCAGTCTATGTCTCTGAAAATGCAATCCCAAATCTGAAAGTCAAACTAGATTCTTCTTTTCACTATTTATGATTGGCTGTAAAGATTAAGCAATTATTTAATACAGTGCTGTAGGATCCCTGTTACCTTCAGTTCAGGAACTCATGGGTAGCTCTACACCTCTATGTACATCACTGGATTTGCCTGTGAATAAGGGACTGGAGTTCAGCAGGAAATGCCTTTTCACGGGCAAGAGGAAGAGTATATATTTCCTTTGAGCCCCTTCATGTGTTTCAGCAGAAATAGAAAGCAATAAAGCCATTTTTGAAATCTGTTTATGACCATAAACATGTAATAGAAGATTTGAAATACACAGTAGGAGATGATTTGAGAGCATAAAATTTTTAGAGGTTTTTCAGAATAAATGTCAAGCAAGACAGACATGTGCTACCTCTACCCTATTGGAGCAAAGCAATTTATATGCCATCACAGAGTCACGCAGAAGCATGGAATGGTTGGTGTTGCCTCTGGAGAGGGCCCAGTCCAAGCCCTCTGCTCAGCACAGAGTTGCTACAGCAGGCTGGTCAGGCGGTGTCGAGTCAGATTCAGAGCATCTCCAAAGATGGAGACTCCACAACCTCTCTGGGCAACTTCTTCCAGTGCTTGACCGTACTTACCATAAAAAGGTGACTCTTTTTCTTATATTTAAATGAAATCTACTGAATTTCAGTTTGTGCCTATTGCCTCTTGTCCATTCCCTGGACAACACTAAGAAGAGTCTGGCTCCATCTTCTTTAACTCCTACCCCCATCAGGTATTTACACACACTGATAAGGGGTCCCTGTGAGCCTTCTCAGCTCCAGGTAGAACAACCCCTGCTCTGTCAGCCTCACCTGGCATGCCAGATGCTCCAAGTCCTCCATCATATTGGAGCTTCTTCAGTAAGTTCCCCTCTCTCTTGTACAGGAAAGTCCAGAACTGGACACAGCATCCTAAATGTGGCCTCACCATGCTGAGCAGAGGGGAAGGACCATGTCCCTTGATCTGCCAACAACGGTCTATCTACCTAATGGAGCCCAGGATGCTGTTGGCCTTTGTTGCAAGGACACAACACTGGCTCATGTTCAACTTGTCCACCAGGATCCCCAGGTCCTTCTCTGCTTTCTGGTCAGCCAGCCCCCAGCCTGTACTGGTGCTGGGGGTTATCTGCCCCCAGGTGCAGGACTGTGCATTTCCCTTTGTTGAGCTTGCTGGGGTTCCTGTCAGCCCAGTTCTGCAGCCCACTAAGGACCCTCTGAATGGTGGCACAACCCTCCAGTGTATTAGCCACTTCTCCCAGTGCAAACCTGCTGAGGGTGGACTCTGTTCTACCATCCAGCTCATTCGTGAAGAAGTTGAACAGGACTGGCCTCGGTATTGATCTCTGGGGCACACCACCAGCCACTGCCCTCCAGCCAGACTCTGGGCTGTTAATCACAACCCTGACTGTTCAGTCAGTTTCAATCCAGCTCCCCTTCCACATATCTAGTCCATACTTTATCAGTTTGTCTATGGCATGTCATGGGAGAGACCGTCAAAAGCCTTATTAAAGTCAAGATAAACAACATCCACTGCTCTCCCCACATCCACCAAGCAAGATGTCTAATCAAAGGAAGTTACCAGCTTGGGCAGATGTGATTTCCCCATCATCTTAACTCCAGGATAATTGTTGGTAGCTATGAATTGAGAACAACTTTATTATCTCAGTTTTAGTACCTGACCTGAAAAGAAAATTTAAGGTATTTTATTTTCAGAGTTCTTGTCTAAGCTGATCAGAGACTTTTTCACAAATACAGAGACGATTTTTTTTTTTCTACAAGATTTCAATTTTATCCAGCATGAGGTTAGATGTGAACTCTGAACAAAAGTGGAAAGGTTCATTGAACAGCAATGCTAGAAATCAGTGTTGAATAATTAATTTGATCATTATGCAACGAGCATATTCATTTAGTTGGTCTGTGCAAGGAAAAAACACAGGTCTTTGAAGAAATAGTATCTCGTTGTCCCAAGGAATGGATGAGTGAGGGAGAGAGTTTAAATAAGAGTGGGCTACCTTTATTTTGTTATTTCCTACACTGAATAGTCTGCAGTCCTCCCCAACCAGGTGGGTCAAAGTTTGAAAAAACTTGCACAGATGAATAAATTGTTCTGTCTCCAGCTGCTTTTTTGGCCCAATTTGCTCAGCCATTCTGTGAATCTGTATTTTACAGTTAAGATTTTGGGAAGGACTCTGAGGCTATGCACGAACATGGGCTGAGAAACCTGCATATATCTGCAAATTCATATGGATTTGAAATAAATGGTTCTAAGGAAAACAACTCCCTGCAGCTAGGGAACATGTCTAAGGCATGTTACCAGCTACACTTTACCAAAGGAATGAGTTAACTGGCTGCCCAGCCTTTATTTGCAGACTCTGTCTCAACTGCTGCTGCACTGCCTGAAGCTGAGAATGTACCCAGAGGAGATTCTTATAACTGCCTAATCATGATAAAAAGATATTTTCAATAACACCCTCTGAATGGATTGATCAGACTTCTCTTTTGAAGCAGGAAGGAAATAACCCTCACTATAAGATCTAAGCTCCAAATCTAATGTCCTTGAGCTCCACTGCGCCCATACCTGTACCTGCTGAAGCTCAGGGATACGGATTAAATCAGAGTTTCTGCACAGACACTTAGCTGAATAATAAGTTCTAAAGCAGACAGTCATGAATAGGAATGAAGGGGACTGGCTTTTACGGTTACAGTGAGTGCCAGAATACCTCAAAGAGAAAGTGAGGCAATATCTCTACTAATGAGGCTTTTCAAAGGGAAACCTCGAAATGCAGTTGGAGGTTGTTATTACATTAAGAGCTTGGTTAGTTATTTGAGGGAGGGACGTATTTAAAAGTCCCTAGGCAATCAAAGCCAGCGCCTAATGAGAATATCTGGGCTTTGAAGGTTCTTCCAGTTTGTCACTAGATGTCAGCCTAGACCTTCAGTTCCCTATCATTTTGTAGCATTGTCCACCTCTACCAGCACCCCACCAGGAATCTGTAACAGGAGGAGACCCGTCACGAAAATCTCTTAAAGAACTCTGTAAGTACTGTTTTGTATTCTTCAGCTTTGTTTATTTTAGGCCAGGAAAAGATGATAGTTACAAATGAAGACACGAACATTCGGAGGAAACAGGAGTGTTTTTGAAGCGTGTTGTACTGATTACTGAGGAAACCCTCAGATACCCAGTAGGATTTGTTGTTAATGTGTAGTCTCAGAGCTGGAGCTGCAAAGACCCTCTGTGCAGACCACAGGCCTGGTGCTGTGTGCACACTCAGAACTGACCCTTCTTTGCAATGCCCAGGCTGGTGATCCTGCCCATGCAACACAGAGCCCAGATTTCATGCACTGATAGTTGAGACTCAGAGCACGTGTGAAGCAAAATTTCTCTCTGCTCATGCACAGCTAGAACAGTGCTTTTGGCCATGCTGGATACACACTGACCCACATAACCTGAACTGCCGGATCAGGTTGCTTTTGGCCTAAACCAACATTTGGCCAATTGTGGGTGGGTTGTGCCTCTTTTGAACAGAAGATTCATGACCTACACTTGATGGATCAGCACCTTGAGAGAGCTGCTCTCTAAGTCCATAGTCCAGTCCCTACACACCCAAGGTATTTTCCTATTTGGATGATTTGCCAAATGTAAGGTTTTTATGCCTTTAGTGATCAGATATCTGGGGCTTCCTCCGAGTATGGTATCTTGCTAGTATTCTGGGATAACCAGGGTTTTTTTCTGAACATCATCTATTTTACTGTGTTGCTTTGCTGACATAAAATTATGTCTACATTGACACCCACAAAAGCACATGGGTTTTGTCATGCTGAGCACTGAAGAGAATGTCTTTTAGGCAGTTTGCTATCTACTGGAATTCATAGTTATGCTTTAGACACCTGGATAGTTTTTTATGTATGCACAAGAACATTTAGGCATCAGGATAGGGATTAAAATTACGGCAAGCCAAGCAAGAAACTATGGTATTCAAAAGCAAACACTAAGAAGATAGTCTGGCTTTGAGATTAATCCCCTTTTCTTAATTTAGGCACTTTCTCCTGGCCTACAGAGACACAGTTAGATCTCTCTGAACACTGGAATTAAGTGTTCATGGTATCCTTTTCTCACACAACAGTTTAGCTTTCTTTATCTGTTAGCACAGGCATTAGGGCTTTCTCCCAGAATGAGACCCAGATGCATTTCTTGCAAATCCTTTGACAAATTAGGCTGCTAGATGTACAGGTCTAGAAAGCTCTCGGGCTCTTGCATGACATACTGAAACTTTAACTGAACCAGCACCTTGGTCCAAGTTAATCATTGTTCTTGGAAAGGGGAGACCTAGAATCCAGAACTGGATCCAATTTCTCTTCTGTATTTACAAGGGAAAAAAGCCTTGTCACTTTCCCTTTGGGTCTCACACCCTAACCACTATGCTGCAAAGAAGTGTTCAAGGGCTCTTTTTCCCTTTATGATCCAGCAATGGTGAGTGACTCATGCAACAGGGAACTGTTTCAAGCCAGAGGATTTGGGCAGTCATAGAGTAGTCCAGAGATTCAGTCATTCCCCGAGGATATGGAAGCAGGGAAGCTGAGCCTCCTAGTCTGTGGGCAAAAGCTCCACCCACTTATTTAGTGTTTCAGAAAGGAACAGGAGGAAGCATAATCTGCTCATGCATTGAAGGTGGGACAGGAGAAGCATATCTAGACAGAGATGCAAAGGGATGGGGGGAAATCAGTTAAGTTTACAGTGCTTCCTAATTTAGTGTGGCCTGGCACAGGTGTTCCTTGCTGGGCTGCAGAGCTGCCTCCCTCACTTAGGATACACACTGCGGCCAGTCCTGACAGATCCCCATGAAGCACAGAGATAATGCTACAGACTTAAGCAGATTTAGGCATGCTCAGGAGCAGACTTCTAGGCACAAAAAGTTTTACTAGAAAAAACTTTAAGTACCTACACACTTCAACTGGCAGCCAAGTCAGGATTTAGGAACTTAAAGGGGCAGTTGTACAGTACGTAGATGCTCAAGTTCTTCTGTGGATATGTCTGATTTCTTCAAAGTCTTTGCTTCTATAGAAGCACGTCCATCAGCTGCCAGCTCGCTTCTGCTGTTCTTCTCCAGTCACCTGGATCTTCCCAGTTAGCAAGCACCCAAGGCTGTAGCAGAAGTCTCTTTTGCCTTGAAAAAAAAACAGAACAGCTTCTCCTTTCAAGTTACAGAACCAGTTGCTTCCACACCAAACCTGAATTTTACAACAGGAGTTACCAACATGTACAGTAAACCTAATAGAGTCTACAAAGCATAATTGCCACTAATGGCACTGCAATATTCTCTGGAAAGAAATGCCAATTTTGCTCCACATCAGTACTTAGAGGTGACAAACAACCCCCTGCAGATTTTTTTTTTTTTTAGCAGAGTCGGGCAGATCTTGGAGTTAGGCAGAGGGGGAAGTGGCTGGAAACAGAGAGGGGTTCTGAATATTGTATCTATATATTCAACCCATATGCAGTATTTGGGATTAACAAACTTGTGTTTTGACAACAAAACAAGAACTGCTGCATTCTTCCATCTTTTAAAAGAAATATTTTTAACTTTCCATCTAAAATTATTTTCCTCATAATTTAAAAAATTATTTTAAAAAGTAACCCTACCATAAAAAGTTTCACAGCTTAAAGTTACACTTTTTTCATGCCCTTAGAAGTTCATTTTAGATCAACATCAAATTATTTCCCAGATGTTTCTCTGGTACACAGGCTGGGACAAGCATTATCCCTGCACTTCTCCAGGGTGTGAGAGCACTGAACCGCAGGCTTGAGGGCTGCTCACACCAGAGGAATTGAACACTTTATCAGAACAAAAACCTTTGTGCTTGGTCTTAGGTGAACCCAGAAGTATCCTAGAGCAAGTGGCTTGAAGCAGCTATGATTTGTGTTTTCTCCTTTTTTTTTTTTTTTATTTACAGTTGTGCTGATATCCTGGAGTGAAATACAAACAGTCTGAAGCACAGCAAGAACAAAGCCTGCAGCCTCAGTGCTCTGGGAGAGACACCCGCCTTGCCGCACAAGGTTTGGGGTGGTGGGCTTCCCTCCCTGGTGCAAGGCTGGGGAACATAATATTGGGGGGCTCACACCCTCCCCTCCAAACATGGGCAAAGCAACACCTCTCCATGAAGCTGCAAGTCCTGTCCTTGGGTTTCATCCTTGGCTGTTAGGGTTGCTCTCTATTCTGGCAGCAGCAGAGGGGATGGGGGGAGATGGGAAAGCAGATCCCACACAGATGCAGAGGGGAGCACAGTGCTGCTCCTCCCCTCTCTTTCCTGGGTCCCTAAGAGAGAGGAAAGGGATCAAGCCTGAACAAGCAGGAGCCTTATACCCACTTGTCCTGGCTGTTCCCATCAGGGCAGGTATGAAACAGGAGGTAGGCTGTCTGATCTCTGTGCCCTCACTGGAGCCCAGGGAGCAGTGACCACAGCTGGGCAGGCATCATTTATGGTGCCATGCAGCTGTGAGAAGGCAGCCCAGCTCCCTCCCCCTGTCACAAACACGTACAGAGGGGTGGGAGGGATGCTGGCCTCTTTCTGCTTGCACCTCCAGGTTGGGGGGACACAGCTGAGGCCACCCAGTCTTACTCCACCCCACCCAGCCCCTCTCCTCCCTATGGTGCCTTGCACATCCTGCATACTCCTGTGACCTTCCCCTGTTCCTCTTCTCCAGAGGAGGTACAAGCACTAAAAAACATTTCCTAGAGACACCGCAATCCCCAGTGCACCACCACTGCCTCCTCCTACTCCTATTCTCCCGTCTGGGAGACATTTTCAAGACAATTGCCATCAACAAGGTTCCAAGAGCAGACACAACCCCAAAAGAGCATCTCTCACACAGAAACCCTCCCTTACCCATCCCTCCTCCCCTTGTCCCTACCTGGCATTCAATATCCCAGGGCCATACCTTGCACAGAACACACAGTCCCACCCCCCTGAGCCCCCTGCCCATCTCAGCAGCGCTGCTCCGTGGAGCTAGCAGGCAGCAGGTCATAGCGGCTGCTGTACATTACCACCCCAGGGGGGTAGTAGGCCACCTCCGGCTGGAAGGCTGCAGCAGGGGAAGCAGCAGTGACGGGTTGGGCAGGCACCAAGGCATGCAGGGCCTGCTCCTCCTGCTCGGGCTTTGTGGTGTCAGTGAAAGGACGCATGGTGGTGAGGGAAGGTGAGGTGATCCTCCAGAGGAGGCTCTTCAGTGCCTTGCGAAACTCCCTGCGCATGAGGCAGTAGAAGATGGGGTTGAGGCAGCTGTTGGAGTGGGCCAGGCACACGCTGATAGGGAAGAGGTACACTTGGGAGAGGAAGTACTCAGTGCTGAAGTGCACCACGTTGAGTTTGATGAGGATGCCCCAGGTTGTGAGGGCTTGGTTAGGCAGCCAGCACAAGAAGAAAGACAGCACCACAATGGACACTGACTTGGTCACTTTGGAGCGGCGCTTGGTGCTGGAGCTGCTGCAGGTGCTGCCAACATGCTTGTCACTGATGAAGCGCACCAGGAGCAAGTAGCAGAGGCTGATGATGGCCAGTGGCACCACGAAGCCCAGCAGCACCTTCTGGATGTGATACAGACCCAGCCAGAACTGGGCATTGCTGCCTCGGCCCTCGGGGAACTTGACAAGGCAGAGCACATCATCAAAGACAGTGGCAGTGGTGGAAAAAATGGCATGGGGCAGGGAAGCCAGGATAGCGGACAGCCAGATGAGTGCACAAAGCCACTTGGCAGAGCAGCAGCCACCCAGTGGGTCACCTCGCCGCTGATTCTTCAAAGCGGAAGCCACAGAGCGGTATCGAGCCACACTCATGGCAGTGAGAAAGAAGACGCTGGCATACATATTCATGGCTGTCACATATGAGACAATCTTACACATTGCCTTGCCAAAGAGCCAGTTGAAGTCCAGCGCATTCTCCACTGCCCAGAACGGCAAGGTCAGCACGAACTGGAAGTCAGTCACTGCCAGGCTGGTCACGAAGAGGTTGATGGACGACTTTCTCCAGCCTTGTTTGCTTTTCATCAGGTAGAGCACCAGCAGGTTGCCCACCAGCCCCAGGGCACACACCACGGAGTACACCAGCGAGATGACAATCCGCACGACGTCAGAGCTGTCCCCCTGCATCCCGTCAGCTCGCTCCAGGTCCATGCTCTTGAAAAGCTGCAGGAAGGACACGTTGCTCCTGTTGCCCGTCTGGGCGCCCTCCAGGAAACCCAGCGGCGCGCCCCAGGACTCCCAGTCCGCTCCTTCCTTCATGCCGGCGGCCGGCGAGCAGGCACCGCGCTCGCACGGCTCGTCCATCCCATGCTAGGGGAGGGCGACGGGTCCACGGGAGCCTTTCCCCAGACCCCCGAGCAGCCGTTTCGGCGGGGACGGAGGCAGCGACTCCCTCGCTCCCGCGGGGCCGCGCAGCTGACGGCGGGGCCGCGCCGCGCCGCGGTTATATCCGCGCCGGCGGGGCCGGGGCATGCGCGGTGCAGCGGCGGAGCTCTCCCGGGTGCTGAGCGCGGGCGGGCGGCCGCGCCCCCGACCTCCCCCCCCCCGCCCATCCCCTCCCCGCCCTTCTCACACCGCCTTCATCCCCGCTCCTCGCCTCCCTCCTGTTCCGCCCGCACCGGCGTGTGAACCCACCGGCCGGCGCGTTTCCGTGGGCTCAGTTTGGCCCGACCCGAGGCGACGCCCTCTCCCAAAAAGTCCGCTCAGCGGGTCAGCTTCAGAAATAAATTCCCCCTGCCCTCCCTCCCGCGCTTGGGATGTTGTCCCACCTCTGCTCAGGTGCAGGGCGAGTCGGAAACAACCCGCGCGTTCCTCCCCGAGAAACCTCGCCACCAACCCTGGGCGCGGCTTCTCCCCGGTTTTAAAATGAAGGGGCGCGGGCAAAGAAGCCGTGAAGTGCGGCCGCCGGTAGCACGCAGTGCTGGGGCGGGAGGCACAAGCGGGCAAGGCCCGCGGCGGGCAGCAGGCGGCCCCGCGGGAGGCAGAGGGGCGGCCGCGGGCCCCGGCAGCCGCCCGCAGGGGGCCCCGGCGCGCCGGGAAGCGGCGGCGCTCGGCGGCGGCAGCCCGCCCCGTCCCTGCCGTGCGACCGGCCCGCCCGGCGCCCGCTGTCCCGAGGGGTCTGCCGCAGAGACAGAAAGCGACCCACGGGGGCAGGGCCCGAGGCTTTCCTTCTCCCGTTCTGCTTGTGAAGAAAGCAAAGTGAGCGCGCGCTTTGGAAGCGAAATCGGCTCTAAGTATACCTAAATTGAGCACTGCCAGTCAGCCATCTGGGGGGAGATCAAGGGAAGGTTTAACAAGTAAATTACTTCTTCATTGTCTTTAAACGGATTCGCCCTGTAGAAACGCCTGCAAGGACACTGTTGCGTGTGCCACTTGTTGCCAGCAGTCCACTCCTCCATCTCGTTTCCATCTACAGTGAAAGTATCAGGCAGCTCATGGGAGTGCTAAAGGGGAACGAGAGTAATTAGGAAGTTTCATGCATCATTCGTATTGCGTCTAATGAGTGCACAATTTACTGGAATTAGTAATGCAGCGCTCTGGGTAGGCTTAGCCTCCAGATTACTTGCTACACTAAGTACACTGGTACTAAAATGAAACAAAAAAATTGAAATAATGAGCCTTCAAAAGGCTGACTGCAAGAAGCCTTGAAAAATGCACTCCTGACATTTCTTCCCCACTTTCTCCAAATTATGGATTTTTTTCTAGGCTTCCATACCTCTTAATCACTGACTAGGGCTGCATTCAGGTAGCATTTTCAATAGTAGAGCATTAAATTGCATCCCCTAGCCTGGGAATGGCAACAGTTTCTCAAATTCTCTCACCCATAGTAAACCACCCTTGCAGTGAAACAACCACCCTATCAGCCCCACCTGTGTCGCACAGCCAACTGTCAGTACAGGCGGGCGAGAAAGCCAACGGTCCTTCAACACCAGCAATGCAACAACCATATAAAGAAGCAAAGTGAAATTGCTGAGTCTTAAGCAGAGCTGTGCCACTGCAGAGGTTCTGCAAACAGTACAGGAGGTGCTGTCTTAGTGTTAGTGTCAGGACTTATCCAACATGAAGGTTAGTAAAATATTTGAAATATGCAAGTCCTAGTTCAATTTTTCCCCTCTGCTTGGTCCCTCCACTATTAGGTCACAATTAAAAAATAATCTGTAATTGAGCCATGCAGAGACTATGACACATTCACTTGGTAAATCATTAGTGGGATGCACAGGGCAGAAGTGGATTTTTTTTTTAACTGAATTGAATTCTGCCTCATTCTGATCACATTGCTACCTCCATGCCCAATTTTGAACATTTCACTGGAAAAAATGCAGAAACCACATCTTGCACAATATAATTTATTCTACCATTTGACTACTTCCCTGCTTGGCACATCTTGTTGATAGATGGTGGAGGCTGAACAGTAATAAAGATTCAGAAAGGAGTGGGAAATCATGTTTTAAGATATACTGCCTTTTGTGTTAGCCACCCAGAGAAAGCAACAGAGCATGAACTGAGGTACCTCATGGGAACAATGGTAGTGGATTTTGAAATCAGACCTGCATGTGAGAAATGCTTGTCTGGGATTTTTGCTCATATTCTGACCAACAGACATGGTCCTTTTCAGTCTTGGGTGGTTTGTCATTTTCTTTCATCATTCTTCACCCCAGAGAAGTTCTAGAGGCAGGTGAAGGGAGTTTGCTGCACCCAGAGAATAATAAAAGAAGTATTCTCTGAATAATTTATTCATCACATCACCAGAACATTTCTGTAGCTGGAAAAATGTTAAAAAAGTCATCAGCTATTCTGAAAAAGTATTGCAAAATTCATCACATACACTATTGGAGTGTTATTATTCTGGAAAATATTCCACCAATGCTGCGAAAGGCTTGTTGCTAATATGTAACTTTATGGAGTTTTCTCTTTATCAAAGTGTCAGTGTAATTGGTGTTACTGACTCAAACTTTTTGAAAACTGTAATAAACTCGCTGACCATAGGCTTTCATATGTATTTTGGTGATAACAGAGAAATAGTGGCCGATTTGTTTACTTTGGAAATCTCGAACAGATCCTGTAGAGTTTTGTAAGAGGCTTTTTGGGTTTTATATGGTGCTATGCTAAAATAATTCATGGGGCTAAGGTTGCTAGTTTGCCTTCAGGTACCATCAATCTGTACAGTAAACCTGAAAAGCTTGCACCAGTTCAGATCACCAACAGAAGCTGCCCATCGATTTTGACTACATTGTGTCAGAGATAAAAGTGTCCCTGCAGGTATTTGTCAAATAGCCTTTAAAAATGTTTCAGATAAATATGCCAAATAAACATTCGGTGCAAATGATAATCTTCCTACAATTTACCTCAAAGGATCCCTATAATTTTTCACTTCCTTTACAGACCTTGTACACAAATGAAAGATTGATTATGATTACAATAGTGACTGAGGCAGCTATACATGGTTATGAAATGTTTTGGCAAGGGAGATGGGGTTCTGTTTTCAATATGGAAATAATTTTTGTGGCTTAAAGGAGATTTTTGAAATACTGATTGCATCACTATTTTAAATGCAGAAACCCAGGACTATTTCTTGGGGTATTTTTGTAGTAGCAATGGATTTTTTTTTGTCTTTTTCCATCCAACATACCCAGGCAACAAACAGTAATAGTAAAGCTCTTGAACAGATCTAATTAAAAAGAGTTATTAATATGTGTTACATAAATGGGATTTATATTATTCTTAAATGTTGCATTCTTGCCGTATGTTTGATGAGTAATTCTTTTAATGGCATTTTCTTCTCATTAAAACAAAATTTTGGATCAGGAGAAGGAAAGAGAAACAAGAAAAAAGAGACATTTCATATTTGTTTACTTTCTCAGTTCTAATTTCTAGAACCTATATGGTCTCCCTTTGGCTTTTTATGAGCTCAGGGCTATAACCCCACACTTTTGACTAAACTCAGACAATAACTGTTAACACTTACATTTTGAACTGGATTTTACAGCTTGAGTTTCTCCACCTTGAGAGTGAAGGTTTGGTGTGACTTGGTGTGTATCCAAAATTCATGGCAATTCTTTTGTTAAAAGCATAGAAGGAAATGTATACAGGTTTTCATTACAAAATCTCTGTTAGATAACATAATTGACATATTCAGTTATCTAGCAGAATGATCATACCATCACAGGTATGCTTCATGGACCACAGACATATTCTTGAGAAAGTATTACTTGAATACAGATACAAATTTTAATTGAAAAAAAAAAAAAATCATGTTCATGTCCTCTCCTCATTTGCTTTCTAAGTAGATCGCTGAGAACATATTTTCTTGGCACTAATTTTGAAAAAGCTAATTTCAGAGTGAGCTGTTTCTCCAGAAACATGCTTTAAAACTGTTAATATAGATTGTAAGACTGAATGAGCTTTTAAGTTCATATAGTCTAAGCAAAAAATTGTTATTTTGTTAATTAGCTCACCAATTACAAATAACAATCCATGTTTGAACACTAATCAGTAACCTGTGAGCATCCCCCAAAATTTCATGTATTAGAATCACTGACTACTTTAGAGTTTGCTTCCTTCTGTTAATTGAATCTGCACACAGACATAAGTTGAATGTCAGCAAATATTTTTTTTTTTCATGAGTAACTTAAGAAATTCCAAAAATCTTTAAAGGCTATAATTGAAATGGAAGTTGAGAGATCCAGCCGTGTCTCTGATTCAATTACTAATACTTAGCTGTGTTAAGAGGCTGCATCTTTAAACATAAGAGAATAAGATTAAAAAAAAAAAAAAAAAGTACTCACAGACTTTTCCATCTAAATCTGTCTCAAAAAAAAAAATCAACAGATGTACAATAGTTACCCAGCAAACTCCACAGAGTCTTTAGGATTCAGAGTCGTTCTGCTCCAGTCCATCCCTCTGCTAACACTCCGTACCTTTAACACAGCCCACCATATCACATGTGATTCATCTTCTTAACATTTCTAGTCCAAGCAAACCGTTAAGCTGCCCGTACAGTTAATAGACAGTCAGGTCTGGACAATGTTTCACTTTGTATGTGACAGAAAGAGATGTGTTATTCTCCAGAGGTATCTTCTTTCCCTACCGACTGGGGAGGCAGACAAGTAAGTGTACATTAGATGCCTTTTAGGTCTTTAAACATTGGGCAGGAGAATCTCATCCCTAGCAAAGCAAAATTTCCTGTCTTCAGCTGGGCTTCATTTTGTAGCAGCTCCTCAACACCAAATTGTATCAGCTGCAATTCTTCACTGCTCAGAACCTCTCATTTTCTGTCTCTGTGTACACATTTACACAAGCATATAAATTTATATAAACATATTTCTTTTACTGCTGTCTTGGAAGTCTACTTAAATTTAAAAGAATTCAGATATCGATTGTGCCTGGATTGTGAATCTTCAGATATTCAGATACTGATTGTGCCTTGACTGTGTCTCTTAATTGTGTATCTTTT